CTAGGACTTGTCGTTCCACCAGCAACTGTTCACGTACGCCTTGCGGCTGCGCCAGGGTTGAGCACAAGGCTGTCACATGTTGCCTAGTGAGCTCTGACATGCTCTGACTGTGTCAATCAACCCCTCGAAAGCTTGTGCGGCTCCCTGTCTCTTTCTGCTTTAAGTAGCCAGCCTGATCCCGTTTGCACGCACCGTAGCAGTGCTTTTCCGCGATGCAGGCAGTCGCGCCAAGCCGATCTTGCGCTTGCCTTCCCGTTAGCAGCCACACAGGGCCTTCCGCGAAAGCCGAGGAAAACTGGACCAAAATGTGTTGACAACAGTTCCGAATGCTCCTGGTTTCGGGACAGCCCTGACGAGTGGCGCACATTTGCAGTTGGCGCAAGAACGCCGTGGAGTGAGACTTGCACTATTCATGACTCAAGGGTGTGCTCAGAATATTGGTAACATGGCCTAGCGCATGAAATGCGAAAAGTCCGAATGCGCAGACCATTGTGTGAGCTCGGGCGGACGGGGGCCTCTCTCAGAGAACACGAAGCCCTGACCTGGAGCGCCATCAGGAGCACTGGGACAAGCACCGGGACCGTGCGAGCGGCCTTGATAACTGAGATCCTCCAAAGCCATGCCCGCGAAGGTGGCGGGGCGACTTGGGACGCCGTACATTTCCCCTGGCACCATGACTCCGTAAGGCATCCGCTGCGAAGCATCAAAGGCCGGAACCGCATGAAATGGAACTGCCTGAACTGGAACCGCAGGCATGGGAGCAGTTGGAATTGGCCTGCGACACAGATTGTCTGGCAGTGGCTTCTGCGTGCTTCCGACCGGCAAAGGCCGCCAAGAGCCATTGGGTTTTGCCGCATTTCGATCTTGAGGAGCCCTGGCTCGATTCTCCCGCCTGGCTGCTGCCTTGCTGGCCTTCTCCACAGTGCCAGATGGCTTCTCAAGACCATGATGCTGATACAACTGCGCCACAGCGTCCATAGCATTTCCCTTGTAGCCGTTGCGCTGGTACAGCCGCAGAAAAATGCTGTGAGTTATGGATGAAGGCTTCATGCCAGCTGAGGCCATCTCTGCAAACAGCCCAACACCGGCAGACAAATCGTTGGCCTTCACGCAACCATCCATCAATGTGTTGTAAACCAGCTCGTCGCATTGCATGCCACAACCCTTGATCGTAGCTGCAACCTGCAGCGCTTTGTCCAGGTCGCCAACCTGGCAGTAACCTTTGAGTAGAGTGGAGTACGTGATGAGATCTGGCTGCACAGTGCCGTCAGACATCTCTTGGAAGAACTCCTCAGCTTTTACCACCTCAGAGCATTTGATGCACACATCAATGATGGAATTGTATGCTATGGTGTTGTAAGGGACACCTTCATCTTTCATCTCGCGAAAGAGCATGACTGCAGAGTTGAGGTCTTTCTCATTGCCACAGCCCTTTATCAGCGTGGTGTACAAGATGGTGTTGGATTGCTTGTGGTGCTTTTGCATGTCGCGAAAGATTTGCAGGGCCTTCTCTGTCTGGCTGCACTTCACACAGGCGTTGATCATGCAGCCATATGTCACCGCATTCGCTTGTGTGCGTTGTTCCTTCATCTCATTCCAAAGCTGCAGTACCTTCTTAATGTCGCAAACCTGGCCATAAGCCTTCACAAGGATCCCTAGGGTGACATGTGAGGGTTCGACTCCAAGGTCCTGCATGCGCTGGTAGGTGGCCTCAAGTCTTGCAATGTCCTTCGTTCTTGAATGCGTATCTAGCATCGCGTTGAAGAGCACTTCATCTGCCTCTTGTGGCTGCTGCTGGACAAATTGTTCAACCAGGGCTACACTGCGATTGATCTTCGCCGCGTCCCAGTTCTTCCGCCCATCAGCCAGCGTTCTCATTAGCATTCGGGAGACTGTGAAGCGATCAGATGGCAGGCCAGCCCGCATCATCTCGTCCAGAGCATCCCAAGCTTGGTCGACACCACGCCGCCGCATTAGGTCCTCGAGCTGGGACACCTGCCCGCTCCTGTCTTTCTCGCGCCCCTGCCCGCGTCGACCCATCCTTGCGCACTGGCTGGCGCCTGTCCAATGCAAATAAGTGTGTGAAGTGCGTATTGCTCCCAAATGCTTGCTGCAATTTCCCTTGATGACAGTTCAGCGTCAAAAAGCAACTGTTGTTGTTATCTACCGTAGTTTGCGCATATGAGCGCTTCCTAGTCGCTTGAGGCAAGCAGCATGGGGTTTGGACGTGAAAAGGGGGTGCTGAAACCTGCTTTGGATGTTGAGGCATCCCAAACGTGAACAGCAAGCCTCTGGGGCGCTGGCTGCGCGTTTTGGATTGTCGGGCGGACCGAACAGGACGGCGTCGGCGCGCCCTCGCTTTTGGCCTTGGAGGTTCCAAGGCTCCAGCAGGTCGAACCCTCCGAAGCAAGTGTGGTGAGGGGGAACAAGCAGAGTCGCTGGCGGGATCGTTCAGGATTTCAGCTTGGTGGGCTGGGGACGCTTGCTGCAGCAGTGACACATGGCAATAGCAGCAGAAGTGGCAGAAGTGACCCAAGTCCCAATAAGTCACCCAAATCAAGTGGCTCAAGTCAGGTGGCACAAGCGCAGACCCAGCGGCAGTGGCATGAGCGGTGGAAGAGAGGGACCCCGCAAGAAGCTGCAAGTGACACAGGCGCAGAAAAAGAACCAAGAGCGAAGTCTTTGCGCTGAAGAAAGCCATAGCAACATGCTCAGCATCGCCACCAACCTAGCGCAGCATAACCCAAGAAGCCTAGATGCGGCCCTGTCAAAGAAGACCCGCAGCAACATCCCTAGCAGTATCAGCAACACCCGCACCATTGCCCAAAAAAGCCTCGTCCTTTGCCAGCACGAGAACCGCTAGGTGAAAACAATACCTCTGACAGTTTCTGCGCTACACAGCTCACTCGCAGACACTCGGGTCACGTGCGCCGCCGCTTGACTTGGGTCAAGTGTGCGCGCCGCTTAGATCACTCACTGCCACTGGCCACTTCAGTCACTTACTGCCACTTGCGACCTGGGTCACTTGCTGCGACTTGCGCCGCTTGTGCTATTTGGATCACTTGCTGCCACTTGTGCCACTTGGGTCACATGCGCCTTGGTGACAGCGTGAGCCCAAGTGACCCAAGTGGCAGATATGAAGTATTTTCCACCCTGCGACCGCAATGGGGCAAGGGCCTTGTTGGAGTCATGAGGGCTATGTGCGCCATGCTCAACTCGCAACGTGTGCGGGTCATGGCGTCTCCTAGTAACCCTTATGACGTTGTCTGACTTGCTGGCTTTTGTGGTTCCACAAAGTCACATAGGGCCTTTTTGAGAACGGTTGTTGTCACTGGGGGCTGCTTTAGGTGCATCTGAAAGCTGGCCTTGGGCCGCAACCACAGCCCCACTTTGTTGTCGACCGAGTATATATATGTACATATGTTTGTAAGAATTCGGTGCCCCCATGGACCCTGGTTTGGTGAGTTTGAGCCTTTTTGCCTCCTTGATTTCGTGGCAAAATGGGGTGGGCCATGTGTACATACACATAGTCAAATTCATGTGCAATGTAAACAATGAAATCAACATCTGCCAGCTTACAGGGTGTGCATGCATCCCAGAGTATTGGGACACCTCTAGGTTTTTGTTGAACAAATCAAAGAACAAATCTGGGATGCAAGATTCAAGATTTTGAGAAAATTCTTTTGGGAAGTTCGAACCTTGAGTCCGCTTTCCAAAAAGATCCAGGGTTGTCCCAATATTCTAGGTTTTTCTTCATGTTTCTGCAACCAACTACTCGCACTCATCTGCAGTCAACTCATCTGCAACCCCCCAAGTTCCTGCAATGGCTAGGTTCACAGTGAGAGGACAAGATTATCGGAAAGCTTTCTGTGAAAGATTCCTAACTTGAATCTTCAATCCAGTGGTACAATACTTTTGAGGGTTTAGAGCGACTTGAAAGTTTTTTGGGGTTGGCCAGCATTGGCGGCTCTCAGGGAAGTTGTCTGTGCAATCTTCAGTTGTGAATCATCAATCCAGCGGTAAAGCACTTTCACGTGCTAGAAGAACTTGAATGTTGCCAGGGCTGACGGTTCTCAGGAATGTTGTTCCGTGTAATCTTCAATCTTGACTCTTCGGTCTGGTGGTAAAATACGTTCACGCGCTTAGCGATCCAGTCGAAACACTTCAAGTTCTTAGGCAAGCTTTCAAGTGCTTTCGGTGATCGTTTTGCTTCATGCAAGCTATGCTCATGTTGACCCTTTTGCTAGGAGGCAAAGCTAGGTGTGCTGCTGAAAGAGAGGCACTATATGTTTGTTTGTATGTGTATATATACATATATATATATATATATACATATGTTCACACACCATCACCCCCGGCCTGAACTACCTGTCCACTTCTGCTCATCTACTGCCTCCGCTTTTTGAGATAGACTGAACTAAGTTTTCTTTCCCAAATAAGACTTTAATGCATTTTTTTAGCTAGAACCCCTGCTTCGAGATAGGTTTGGAAGTTGGAACATCGTCTAACAAGTGTAATTTCGGACTTTTCTTATGCTACAAAAGGGCCATAGCGTAAATAACGCAAATTGTAATTCGAGTTTCCTTATAGAAGGCTCTAAAAGTTTAGCCGTTTGAGTATGAACTATATTTGAGAAGTAGGTTCTATTTAGCTGTTCCCAGAAGCTCAATTGCATTATTGTTCGTATTAGATTGTGTCGAACATCTAATTATTTTTGGCCATAAACTCATCTATTTTTGTTGCTAAAGATTAGTTGGATTGTACCCAGAACCAGACTTGGATTTTGATGTAACTCCTATTTGGAGTTAGGAATTGTTTATTGAAATTGTATTTGAGCATAGAACAAACCGTGGACAATTGCATCCTTACTACATTCTGTTCAAAACTCCAATTTTAGGTGAAGCAAAATCGTGCTTGGAAAGAATCTCATATTGAGATTTATCACCAAAACCGGGGCATACATATATATATATATATGTACATACAGAAACATGTATTTGATATATATATATATATGTGCACACACGCGCGTGCTTGAGCATTCATAAAGACCATTTGTCTCCAGGACTCGGCGGTATCGGCCGAGGGTCACACGCACAACCTAACCTTGCAACCTTGTGCGCAGCTCGCGCGGAATCGGCGACAAATCTCTGCGAGTCTACCCTATCATCCTTGCCGACAGTACTGCCAGGAGAGACAAATTAATTGCAATCTAGGAGTGTGCGCTATGAGCCTGCCCCCCTTCGGAACCGGACCTTGCAAGACTAGATGACACGTGTTAGCGCACCAACAACACATATCCCCGCTACCGTCCTCCCTGCGCAAAACTTGGGCCGGCTGTGCGTGCAACTTGTGCGACGCAGGTGCTGCGCTGATGACAAAACCTTGAACAACCTCCTTCCTAAAATGTAACATACGGGTGTAAACGAGGCACTTTGAAGAAGGCCCGTGCGGCGCCTAGAAAACCAACTTTAAGAAACAAATGGGGAGCTGTACGTGGGTATGTTTTTTGCGATGGGAACCCCCTTTTGTTGGGAGCTAAGCCAAAGCCAGTTTGGTGGTTCCATGTCCCATACCCTACAGTGGATGCCTAGCCGGGACATGCCCTTTATGCGGTGGGAAAACACACTGGAGGTTTAGGAATGCAAGTCGTACAGCTCAAGGGGGTCTAAAAGGAGATCCTGTTCCCAGCTTTGAAACATCCGCAGCGGAAAAAGGAGCCTTGTCGCAAGGTAAGCTGCCGGAGCGCGCAGCGTAGGCCTGGCGCGCCGAGTGCCAATTCCACCGATGGGGCTCAGGCCGCCCGTCGCCCAAAGGGGCACCCCCTCTCATTGGCGGAAGGGTCCAAAGGCGCACTTACCAAAGGAGGGGGCTTCAAACTTAAAGTATAGTCCATGTTTCCAGAGACATGAACAATTGTTTTGCTCTTCAAACCGAAAACACGAGCCTTCCAGAAAATAGAACTTCAATCAAGCCTCGCTGGGGGGCCCTTTGTTGCGATCCATGTTAATGCGCAGAAGACCCCCCAAAGACGTGTAAAACTCAGTAAGCACACAGCCCGAAAAGCAAACACCAACACAACACGAACCGAGAAAAGTGAAGCTGCTCTCGGCTGTGCCTAGCAGAGTCACTTCAGCTTTGACTTGCGCGCAAAGGCTTCCAGCATTCATCTTGAGGCGCCCCGTTTTGTGGTTTTACACACCTTGGACAATTGGACAAGCCGATTTGAAGGGGTATTCCTCTGGCACTGGGCTGTCGACCCTCAGCCACATTGGGGAGAACCTTGCTTCCACAACTCGGAACACATTCCCGCAGTTCAAGACCTCGACAACAATTGTTCAAGCAGCTCGAAAACAATTGTTCAAGCAGGCACCCTTGACAAACAAACCCGGATGCATCAATGACCCTAATTGTCCGACCTTGATAGCTTTGGGTATTCCTCGCTTTTCAATCAATCAAGACTTTTAGAAGTTCTCGTTTCACAGAATGATGGCGCATGATTGTGGAAGAGTGGAGGAGCAACCAAAAAGTGGTTTGCTAAGTTATTGTTTCTTCCCCTCCTGTTGGAGCTTGGCCTGAGCCCAAGATGGTCCGTCTGACGGTTACCGTTGCTCAACGTGACCATCCAATTTCCTCACGACCTTTCTGGACAAGACTTCGTGTCGAAGCCCGAAGCTGTCAAGGTAGGACCCTTCACGTTGCGAATCAAATTCAGCGCTCAAGCGCGGGCCCAAACGGTGCTGACAGGGAACATTCCATAAACAATTTTGAGGCGGCTATCGAGCATCAGGGATGCGTGTGGCAAAAAGCTTTGGAGGCTGCAAACTGAAACTTGTGAGGTCACCGCATGATGTGCGTTTGCAAGCGGCTTCCTCTCGAAAGCTTCAACCCTCCACTGCCCAAGTTTTGGGTGATATCAGAGTCCCCCCCCAAAACAAAAGCAACGAGGCCTTGTTTCGCAAGGGCGTGGGGCTGCGTGCCATGGCACGAAAACAAGAGGACTTTCAGGGAGAAAGGGATGCCGAACCCAAGCAAAAAGAACAAGAGGGCGCTTGAACTTTGGGTTGTTACGGCCTGGCTTTATGTTTAGCAGCTCAACCCCAAAAGTTGCCAGGATGTGCCAGACTCCTGCGGTTAGTCAGGCTGAACTCACCCCACAGGACCCAGTGCGCCACTGCAATCCGTTTTGTAAGTCAAGGTCAGGATTCCGCATATCCCATGGGAAACAAATTTCCCGACTACATGGTCACCGCCGGAGAACGACGCAAGCTCCTCACACGAAAACAGCTCGTGCTCGGAAGTGTGGACAATGATTGGCACCATCCTGTGTTGGTCAACATCGGTTCCGTGAGCGAGAACCCCAATACGTCTGACAAAAAAACTGAAAGCAAGAGACAACTAGACCAAGAACGTGGATATTCCAGCTGAAGAAGGGCACCGCAGAAGCAGTCCATCTCAATACTCTCATTCTTCCCGTGGTTCGGTGCTGCTGAAGGATGGGTCTCTTGGACGCCGCAAGTTCTCAGAAAATACGGGTATGACCCATCGCAGTCAGCTGGGCCTTGTTGAACGTTCCACGATTCCTTCCATCACCATATGGAGGGCAAATACCTGTCGATGTTGGACCAATTGTTTCTTGTTGCGTGCATCTCCAGTGACAATGTCTATATATATGTGTTTGAACCGTGTCATGTTTGCAATGACTGCGCGGACGCCAACCGTCAAGAATGGTACGTCCGGATCTATGAACATGGGTTCTGTTGCACTCGCCTTGGCCTCGGTCGTTCGAGTTGATTCCTGCGTGAACTCTTGGTTTCCGGAGTCCAAATAGAGTATTCTGCCGATAGACTGGATATTCTTGATCTTGTGAGCAATTCTCAGTCAGGATCGCTTCCACTGGTACTGATGATGACATGTTCACAACGGTCTTGTCTTGGCGGGTGTGCTTAGCAGGAATCGGAACTCCTGTTCTGGTTCTGTAGCAATCCATACCAAACTCCAGACATCACCTATACCAAGGGTTTGCGACAACATGTCTGTGGATATGTTCCACTCTGGCCGTCTTGTCTCCTCCCGCAAAGCGTCCTGTTCCCTTGCATCCTCTCTGGCTCAGCACGACGCCGGCATAGCCGGCCTCCATGACGAATTGCCGAAAAGTGGGACTGGCTATTCCTATTCCATCTGATTCTTGAACCAGGGTTATTTCGGAACTATGACTGAATTTTGCAGGCTGCCCTTCTTGTTTTTGCTGTCGTTCAAGGCTCCCGAGGTTAAGGTGAGGATGTTGAGTTGGGACGTGGGTGTCTGGGTCGCTTCCATTGCGTCATCGGTTCTTGTTTTCTTCGTCTTTGTTCATTGAAGAATCCAAACACGCCTTCGTTTCTTGTTGTTGTCATATGAGCAAAGCTTCAGGATACCATGAGGTAGTCGAATCGGATAACCGGTTTCTGGTTGGTGGCTGCAGAACTCCTCCCACGTTGGGTTCTTCTTGTCCTGTCGGAGGAGTGAAATTCTGAGCATATTGGATGTGTAGTTTGCATCTTCCAGCTGGTTCATGAGGTCGACTGCTTCTTGTTTCAAGGCTGAAGCCATTGAGCTCCGGTCTGTTTCCTTTGTGTCGACCTTGTTAATCTAGTCTGTGGGCGGGTCCTCAATTTTTAGGTTATCGTCTTGGGAGCATCGCAGTGTGGTTTTCTTGCTCACCAGGTTCCTGCATGTTTGGGGTCTGCAATCATCAATGGGGATACATTTTCGCGAATGCCCAAAAGGTGAACATCAAATGACATGTTCCCCGCCAGGAAGGTGAAAACACATGAAGGGAAGAATACCTGTCATGACGGATTTGATGAGCTTGTCGGCCTTCGCCGAGCCCTTCGTCAGGCAATCTGCGAGACAATATTCTGAACATACATCATGCGTCTGACCACTATTGCCTTCCTCGCGAAGCATCTGAATAAGGCGCATGGTTTCCTTTTGTTCAGGCTCATGCGTAGTTGCAGTGGTAGGTGACCCATTTCTGGTGGCGTCTGACAGATTGTGCTCTCTTGTGCTATGATAGGCTTCGCCTTGCAGGATGCGGTTTTCAGGGTGTGGAATATGTTCCACCTCTCGGCTGGTGCTGCCTGAGCTGCTAGTCTGAATTCGCTCTGCTGTCCGATTGATGGTCATGCTTTTGTCGGTCCTATCTTCTGAGCTCCCACACCACCTTGGTCTTGAGGAAGTTGCCGTCCTTGTCTTGTTTGATGCTCAGGACACATCATCCGGTTGCCAGTTTAGCACATGGAGCTTTCTGGTATCGACTAAGTCGAATACTTAGGTGTCGAACCAGGGCTTACGCTGCAGGAAATTTGCTTCAAGGAATTGTTTATTGTGTGCTCGGCTCTCTGGTTGTGTTTCTGCCTTTCGTTTCTTGCCGATTGGTTGTTGTGTATGTAGCGGAAGCCTTGAGAGACCCCTGTCTTTGTGAACACAGTTTAAGCAAAGCTAAAACGTGTTGCGTTCCTCAGCGGGCTGCGCTGTATAAAGTCTTCAATGTCTCTTGGCACAGCGTCCAAAGAGCTTCATCGAGTACCAGATCTGAGTCTTCGTCAGCATGTGAAGCTAGTGGTAGAGGACCATTTGGTGATGATGCTGGTACTGATGGTTTTGCTTCTTTTGGGCTGTCTTTGTTCTTCTTGTGTTTCTTGATAGGGGTACCTCAGCGTCGTCATCTTCAGGTACGGGTGGAAGTGAAGGTCTTTGGGTGCGGTGACGGCACGACAACTGTCGGCCGGATAGTAGCCGGTTGGGTCGACAAGTCGGGGAAATTGGCGGCGTAGCCAACGAAGGTTACGGCCTGGGTGACAGGTGCGTGTTGTGGAACAGGCGTTGCTTGTGGCATTGGCACATCGGGCGGCGCCGGTGGGTCTCGTCTTGCGCTGCGGCGCTTGTGGCATGTCTTGGTCAGGCTGATCAGGCGACCCTGGTGGGTCACTGCCACCGCCGCCGTTCTGATCGCCTTGGCGATCGATGGGCATTGGCCGAATCGTTGGCGCTTTTCTAAATGACACGCGGGTTGCGCGAGCACAGTGTTGGATTATAGTTGTTCATCTGGTGGCGCTGTCAACGGTGAGCTGAGCGGCTGTACAAGGTAGACAAAGATACCGTAGTCGTCGTGCGCCGTGATGAATGGCGAGGATTCTTGAATCTGTCTTGGATGAAGGTTCAAGGGCAAGCTCTGTTCCTTGAGGGAACTGCTTCATGTCTCTCTGAAGTTTGGTTGCTTCAGGGTCGTCGCTAAAGTAGATCTACCTGGTGATTGAAGGTAGGTCTTGTTGACATGGGTACTGGCACTTGTCATGTTGTACTCATCAATCTTGTCCAGCTGAAATCTGATGTTGGTTACTTCGCTGTCTGAGAACGCTGTCTTATAGAAGCAAAACCTGGTTGTCTAAGGGTTTTGCCTTTAGGAACCTGAGAAGCAAATGCGCCGTCTCTTGACGGAATAAGAACGGAGATGTCTGAGAGAGCTTGGCGCGGCTGCCCTGGCTCTTCGCGTTGCCTTCAAGAGCCGAAACTATTTCCACGCTGGTTGAAACACCTGAATATTGGTCTCATGACTTCTTTTAGCAATGCGAAATCCCGGTGCGCAGCACAGGGCAAAACGCTAGGCCATCCTTTTGCCTGAAAAAGCGTAGCGTGTGGCTTAGGCCTGAATGGCAGCCGGTACAGCGGGCTATGTCTCATGCGTGCAAAACACTCCATGCCATCATCCCTCAGTC